CGAAGTACTTCTTAAATCAGCATTTATTTATCGTATCAGAAGTCAGCGATTAAATGAGCTTTTGATAGACTGAATAAGAGGCGTGATATTCTTTTAAAACTTAAGAAAACATACCAAAATGATGAGTGTGTATTGTATATCGCCAGAATAAAAGAGCTGCAACATCAGTCACATAAGTGTACGCTAGTAAAACCTTAAATTAATAAAATTTTAAAGCCAGCCCAATTACTTCATTCGACTTTGTGTAAACCAAAAGATCCAACAGGAAAAGACGATAAAATTAATACCATTTACAAAATAAATTGCATGCATGAACTGCAATAAACATTACATCAGTCAAAGTGAGCGTCCCCTTTGAATCCGAATCCAAGAACACAAGTTATCTCTAAAATGGCATGATATACATTCTTTCATATCAATGCATGTAGACAATTACGGACACCAATTTGACTGGGATAATGTCGAAATTTTGAATAGAGGAAACACCAGAAATGCAAGGGAATTTCTAGAAGCCTGATACTCAGTGGAATCAACCAGCAATTAACAAACACATTACTATAGACCAAATTTGTCAGCTAATGAGTAAATCACATGACAAGAAAGTTTGAATCCCAAATCAATTATAATGATCAATAGAGACGTAAATTAACAACCAGTCACGACAATGGTTGCCAGGAGACACAATTATATCACTCATGTAGAATTCAAATAACTTCATTTCATACTCAAACCTACTCTGAAGATGTTGTCTGGAAGGACGACGAAAGCTTTGCAATTAAATGAACCAGCTCAGAGAATACAACTAAATCGGGATCATCCACCTGAGCTATAAATTTTCTCCATTTTTTCAAAATTCTAAAATACTTATATCTGCTTTTACTCACTTGCAATATGTCTATTGGATGAAAGCTTTTGTTTAGTGAAAAAGACTGATAATTTTTAGTGTTTTCACAACATAATAAAGTCATAACGTTACAATTATTTTTTGCACGTATTTAAATGGCATTTTCATATTAGTGACGCATTTTACTGGCAAGTAAAAGTTCATGTGATAGACTACGTGTCTTAATTGAATATAAAATTAACCATCAGAAGGAAACTTTATACCTCTCTTCCCTTAATTGGGTTTTATCTAAAATGGTTACATTTCGACATTCATGATGTTCGTCTACTACAAAAGCTCAGTTTCGATGTAATTTAACCTCGAGAAATGTTTCTGGATGAACTGTAAGGTACTTATAGTGTACACCAGAATGTATTTGTTTGACTTTACTGATATTGCAGTTATTCTTTTAGATCGCAAAACACTCAACCATGTGAAGTGGTATAATAAAGTGAGCAATACTGAGGTTAGGCGTCGAGTGCTAGGTAGGAAAGGGATATCAATCGACGAAGATGTGAAGTTGCATCGATTGAGATGGTTAGGACATGTGTTGCGTATGCCTAGCCACCACCTTCCTCGATCAACGGGCAATGTTAGCTGACATAGGATGGATCAGGTTGGAAAAAAGGCAGTGGCGGTCAAACCAAAACATGGCTTCATCAGTCAATGGAATCCACAACAGCCAGTTTATGCCACGTCGGAATGTGTAGACTACCTGGATGGGGTCCTCTCAACGGTGAAAACCAGTGGCTGGAGACAGTCGGTGGCATGGCTCAAAATCGTTCTCAATGGCGCAGATGTATCCACTCCTTGTGACTGTATTGTTCTGCGATATCACTATTCTTTTTGCCTAATATCTCTGCTTACTGTCTGTTTTTGAATCTCTTTTTACTCTCTTCTCTTGCTGTGTGTGCTACATGGAGGGCGTGTGGTGACTCGAACTGCTGCACATCAGAGCAGAGTTCTACGTTGAAACCAGTTAGTCAGTCAGCCAACATGAGAAATGTAGTAAAGTTCACTGTTTTCCTCAAGTATGAAATACACTTTTAGTTAAACACTTTAGGAGAAATGATATCTGCACTAATTGATTATTTTTATGTGGTTGAATTCACTGAACTCCAAATCTCCCCTATTATTTTATTTCACTATTCTTTTAGGTAGGAATTATGCTGAAGATGCATTGTTGCATCAGTCACTTTTAAAATAACCCTTAAAGAGTGAGGGAATCAATGTTATTTCACACAGAATCTTTTAATTTTATTAGATTTTTCATCGTGAATATTCTCAAATACTTAATAGTAAGTTCATTTATTCGACTAGGAAATAAATTCTACGAAAGATAGACCACACAACTTTGAAATGAATGAATAAGCATTAAATATATATCACTATGTGCTAACCATTAAGTTCCAGTTTTATTAGAACATGGTGTGAACTCAGAGTGAGATATAAACCAGTCAGAAAGTTTGTGCGAAATGCGTTACAGCTGTACGTTTAACTTATTTCATCACTTATCGACTCTGAATATTACACTACTGTTTTCCGCTTTGTTTCTTTTTCTAAGAGAATTTTCAAAAATACTCTACAAAACGCAATCAAAAAGTATGATATCATCAAACACAACTTCGGAGGAAACAATCGGAAAGGAATTTCTTGTTTGTATTTTAATATTATTGCTGCCCTGAAACAAAACGTGTTTCGATTGCAGTTGCAGCATGTTGGTTTAGGAAGAAACACGAATCAAATAATTTGAATCACATGCATGAAACTTAATGCAGTTGTTTCTCGTAGTGTGGGAAACTAAAGAGAACTTTAATTCCACTAAAGACCACAATGATGCACTAAGGACACTATGAACTTTTTCACTCCCATGCTTTTAATATTTACGTAACAGTAACCCAATAAAAGTGAGGAACTCATAGGAGCTTATAGAACTAAAGTTCTACTCGGGGTTAAATAAAGGCTCCATCCACATTATGTTGGACACTGGTCATTTGATATTTTACTTTAGTTCCGTCAAATAATATTTTAACGAAACCTTACAACACCAAGTAAATATTTCTGATCCAAAAGAGCTCACATTATGGTTGCAAAATGTTCCATTTTATCTAAAGTTTCAATTTAAGTGTTTATTTTTACAAAATTCTACGGTTATGAGTGTAGGAAACGCTTACTTTTTGTTCATAGGACTAAGAGTTTATTAACCGCTACTTAGCCACTTTTTAGAGTTGAGTATACAGAGGGAAAAATCATTTCAGAAGATGATTAGATGTTATAACATGATATTCATCTATAATAAGTAACTTGGTAATCAATACTTAGGGATACGTGAGAAATGATAATTTGGTTTGTCTCTCTGTAAAATGTGACCTATTTAGGTGGAGAAGTGACTTGCTTTTTGACAAACAGTCGTAGAACTTATCACAGTTATATCATTTGATGTCAGGACACTTCAGAAAATAAATAAAATTAGCAAACAAGTAATTATCGATGTCATGATAGGTGAACATGAGTGTGATGGAAATAATAATTAAATGTAGAATAATACAGCCCTGCAAGACATGGAAGACGAAAATATTGAATTCCTCTGAATTACTGGAGATAGTTCTGAGCCAACTCACCACTGATTCTTAGCACGTCGATGGTTTCAGACAGACACCTGGAACATCACTATCTGGTTTACGCCTATAGTTGGTGACTCCGTGGGTTGACGTCTTGTTCCGGTCTGACAAATTCTAACTTTTTGCCAACTTAATCTTATTTTAAGGAAGAAATAATCGTCTAGGAAAATGGCCATTTGTCAACCGAATGCGTGTTTTTTGGTTTTGCATAACATGTATTTGTACATCTTCTGAAAGCACATTACGAAATGATTGGTGGTGAGATGGAAGAAGATGCAATCGGATTTAAATCTGCACATCTTTTGAGCATCGGTATTGCACACCTGCAGCAAATTTAAAAATTTACTCAGTGGTTCTAAGTCTTATACTTCCACATTGTCTTATCGCCTAGTTTTTAAATGATACAATTTTTACACATTTCATTTATTTGTTGAGTAATTAGCTAAAATTTCTCTCTGTTCCTCTGTAAGTTTAAGCTCTGACTTTGCTAACAATGTAAATATTATGTGATTTTCAGAAGTCTCTCTAATAATAACATATCTCCATGGCCAAATCGCCTACATCAGAAAGTTAGTTTCCCACATCAGATTGTAAACTAGTGGAATTATCCTGCAGGAAAATCTGATTTCATCAGCTTATAGTGATTTATTTAAAGCGAAAGTGAACCACCACTGAATAAATAGCCAGAAGTATATGCCTAAGGAATACTGGGCTTAATAATCTCAATTCTAAAGCCACACATAAATCCCTCAGTAAGTAGTATTCTCGGCAAATTAAAACTATCATAGCCAAAAGCACAGTGACCATGAACAACCAATCAGAATTCAGATACAAAAAGTTGTATAGTCGTTGAGAAATACACTAAAAAATATTGCAAGTATGATATTACCCTGTATATTTGTAGCTTATGTGTTGTAAGAATGTCTCCCAGTCACTACACAGATGATTTATAGAGAAATTGTACCATGCGCGATATATCCATTCGTCCAGGTGAATCTAGGTCATGATACCTTCGGATACATTGATATTTCTGAACTATTCTTCGACCTTCTCCTAACTCTGACTATAATCCTAACTTTAACCCTAAACCTAAGTCTTAAAAGTCATAACCCTACCTAACAGTATAGATTTACCTGGTAAATAAGTGGAATACTGTATCTAACATCTCCAAGTCCAGAAGGGCAGGTATGAGTTGATTTAGAATGGCATTTCATAGCACTCCCAGTATCTAATTGGTTCTTTAAGGTCAACATCTGAAAGACCTTCACTTTGGCTTTGACACTTCAACTTCGCCGTATCCTCAAGTTTACAAATTTAACGACAAATGAAAATATATGCATGCAGACTGATAAAATCCCTAGGAGCAGTTCGGAAGAAAATTTTATAGGTTTTACTCTCGGGGTTTCTTTCAGTATCTACACCTAAACTGGGCGTGAGACTCATTTGAAACAGTTCCTAGTGATTTGTATACTTCGAAATAAGATTTCAAGACTCACCAACAAGGCTGCTTGTTTGGCTTTTTCTTTATCAGCCGCAAGTTTTTCTTCTGCATCCGTCAACATTTTTGACTTCTGAAGAAGTTCGTTGTATTTCTCTGAAGGTATGACTATTCCCTTTTTACTGACATTGTCAGAAGGTATACTGAGAAAAGCAATAAATATTCATTAAAATTTCTTACACGAGGTCACGAACCAAATCGGAGGTAAAGTGCCTTATTTTTTTCCTTCTCCTATTTTCCTTTTCTCTTTCACACTCTTCCCATGGAATAACTTCCTCAAACATTTTTCTTCGCGAGATGACAATTTCGGGCTCATTGGAATTGTTGCCATTTTGCTGCTCTAAGCGGGACTGTCAGATATAATGCTTTTATCTTGTTTTACTAACTTGACGTTCTTTAACATGTAAAGGATCTCCAAATAAATTTTCATCGACATTGGAATGTCTGCTGACTGTACGGTATGTTGGGGCTTTCGATCGTTTTGAGTGGGAAGAATTGGATGAATGAAAGCTATGGCTCCGGGATTCTCCACTTATGTAGCTACTTGCTGGCTAAAAATAAAAAATGATGATAGAAAACCCTCTCTACTTTCATACCATTCTCAGCTTCGTTAGATGCTATGGTAACCTTAAATTTAGTATAGAAAAACAACGTCCCCTATATGACGAGGCACAAAACTGATGGTTTCAAAATCAACTTTTCGAAGATCGGTGATCCAATTAATATATTTTTTTATTATTTGGGACTGGATTCTTTTGATAAGCATGTATATATAGGCTAGAAACATGTGAGTTTAATCTGCTTATTTTAGATCTTGTGGTCCGAAAACATAGGAGTAGTCCCTGTAATAATAACTGGGAATTTTATTCCTAACTTTTGGCATGCGAAGTGGAGATTATCAGCATTTGAAGCACTCAACTATTGCTGATGAGCTAAAATACAAGGACATACTTGAAATGAAAACCCCTAACACATGTTTTCAATTTCCCACTGATAATCCAGACGGGTTTATGCATTTCTCCGGCATTGGGAAAGGCTTTCTGGTCTCTCGATGGACGTTAATCTGTAGCATTTTCTATGGAAATACTGAGGTTTCACAGCCACTGTGCAATATTAAATTTAACTTCAGGAATACAAATGATCACATTCAACTAGGGACTCCTACGAAATCTCCAGAATGCTCTTCCCTTGTATGAGGGGAAGACATATAAAACTCACATCCCCTTGCTCTTGACACTGTGGCTATAATCAGTTCAGGTGAAGGCAGTCTAATCAGTACTCTTTCTATGTAAAGTTAACTTGCCGAATATTTTCTGATGACCTGCGTTTGAGAATTTTAAGTGACAGTTGTACGTAAAAAATTTGACGTTTGTGAGTACAGTAATAAGATGTTTATGACACCAGACATAACTTTCCAAAAGGTGAAAAATACCTAACTGATAATGACCGCATCTGTCAGGGAACTCACCTACTAGGGTGTATACATCGTGACTTATAAGCGTCGTTGGAAGTGACATTACTAAAAAATTCATGATCTTCGCAAATACTAGTTTCTTTCGGAGTTTTGTGGCAAGGAGCTCTCCGGTCTTATTGATGTTGGGGGAAATGAGTTGGCATCCATGTATGTTGCCTTCAAGTAGTTGAGGCTTGTTATGCCTTTCGATAGTAATCCGTTTATGATGAAAAACCTTTGTTTTACCCGTTTACAATTAAAGGTGCATCGTGGGGAGTTTATAGAAGTTTTCGAACAGCACATGCAAGACGCGTGCGTTGTCTTGAAGCCACATGTCGGGCTGTACTAGTCTGTCCTGTAAACGAGTGAATGTTGGTTGACATTGACACATGAGAACTGTAACTTACCGTAGATTTTGTATACTGAAGGCCCTATGTCGGCGATCGAAATGTCATACAGGGCCACTGGAAGACGTTCGATATGAAACAGTGACAATGCATTTTCCATAGTAAGTCAAAGTTCATGCTGGCTGTATTACCAGGTATAAGGGTAGCCTTTGGATAGCAGGCGGAATCAGCTAGGCACGTGAGGTGTGGCCTGCCACCGAACCGTGGAGATGATCCAATGATATCCTAATTAAAGCGACTGATGTGGGAACTGTGTGTTGCGAAAGATAAAAGTAGTGTGATGTTGTATGATTGCACCTCTGAACGGTAGCGTTGCGTGCAATCACTGACTGACTTTCATCCTTTATTAATTATTCATGACCAAGACAACCTTAGAAACGAGGTTGAAAAGCGCTTTTGGCACTGAAATTTCTCTATAACGTCCCAGAAATTCTGAAGCTCATGTTCTTCTTCAAACAAATGCTTGCAGCAACCATATTGCAAATCCGTATATACAATGAACTTTCGGCCTTTAATAAAATAACTACAACGTTTAGTGGAAGTGTACGTGTTTACAGGCAGTTCCATGTAATGTTAAACTGAAATAGTAGCGAGCGCTATGTTCTCCAGTCATATGATGCGGAAATGTCAACGAACAGGCATTTATTTGACCTTGGCATCCAATTAGTTTCACTGCTTGGAGGACTTCGAGTCAATTTTTGTGTTGACTTTAATCATCAGAAAGATTCGCGGTCGCAGTCTATGACCATCTATTCAGCCACTACTGCGCTTCGGCCACGCGGGTGATCAACTCCTTACAATGATCGACCATAGTAAATCTGAATAGGCTGTCCATAGCGCGATCCATCAGGCTGAGGGGGATTGAAATGCCTAAAAATGCATACGTATGTGTCAAGTTAAAGAAGCATTTATAGTTTTCAAGCATACACTGATTTAACACATTGCAGTCCCCATTAACTATTTCATTTAAATAATTAGATGTCGTTGATAACCTTCTTCGATCTAGGTAGCAGGAATAAAGGAATTGATGGTGAAGATGAAGTGTCCGGATTCCGAGAAGATCTTAGAAAGTGATTTATCAGGCTGCTTGAACAATTTCTAGCTCGTTTTCAGTTGGGCTCGACTAGAAAGAACACTCGCGATTGTTGCGTAGCCATCTCTTCTGCTAGACTTGAGGTGTAGTCACACTAACTGGCGCGGCCCACCTAACCTGGTGGCTAGGCTGTTCTCAACACCGTTTCACATATCAAAGTGAGGATATAAAAATTTTGGCTGTCGAAAGGTGTATTTATTGACGATGATTTGAAGAAACCGTAGAGAGACAGGGGCACCACAATGAAGCTGCTGAGCTCCGGTCCCTTGAAAATCCAGTATTTCATCCTATGATTGACTCTGCGCGGATAAAAATTGACCTTCGAAGGTTCGACTGATATGACAAACTTCCTGGATCTCTCACATGGATTTACGAATTTCCTTAACTACCACCATCGATATGGTGTTTTCTACCTTTTTCTCTCCGACGTATCCCACTACACAGCTTTTGTTCACAGCTGCCACAGTATCTCGGTTCAAAACCCTAAACAAACCAGAAGTGTAGAGAACTGAAAATAAAGTTATTATCTCGTCACATCCGTCAAAGGGCTGGACTGAAGGTATGGAAACTTGTACGAAAGTTTCGTACAGTCATTTCAAGCAACCGTTACACATTTCATTAACTGTTTCACGTGGTCGAAGACATTGTCGCCACCATAAATAAGCCGGTAAATGAGAGTAGCATCCAGTTAAAAACGGAATAAAAACACCCGGGGAATTATTTCCATACATGAACCACAGGAACAAGATGTCTCACCGAGCCCTTAGTCGAATCATTGGCAGACAGCCAAAGACGTCAAGAACTCGGAAGATGCAGTGTCATTTTACATCTCCAGGGTTTTCGCACACCAATCCTCAAAGCCCGAAGCATAAACTTTGGCTACACAACAGGTAAACGGGTTGCATTCTGCGGAGATCGAAGTGAAAGTCGAATTTCAGTCCTTGATTTAACTCGACACAATCAAAATCATTAGGACCCAATAACCCTCGTTCAGGGCTTCTCAAGGAGCTGGAAGCTTATAAAGATGTCTCACTAGTCATAATCTTTAAGCTGTCACGACATATGAAGTGCTATGGCTTGATGCAACGGCAGTCCTTCTCCAAAAGTGGGTATCCAGATACTCGTCCAAACTGCAGGCCTGTTAGTCTAACCAACATGGGAAGCTAAGTTTAAGTCAAGGGATTAAGTTATCTTAATAAATTTCACAAGGGCTTTCCACAGAATTCTTCAAAAAAGATTCTCAAAGAAATCTGTGACTGTCCATTTGAATTTATCACTAAACTAAAAGAAGGATAGGGATTATCTTGGTTTTATCGTACCACTGTCTAGGTTATACGTGCAGGCGGGGAATTGCATTGTGTCAGCTTAGTGTTGGAAAATCATGGTAGTTTGTTTTTTGTAATAACACCATGTAGAGTATCCTCGCACACAATGGGTCTGCTGTTATAGGGATGGCTGGTAAAGACTGTGCGGCCATTGCATGTGACCTCCGTTTTGGTGTCAATTTGCAAACAATTTCATGTGATTTCACAAAAGTATATCCTCTTGGCCCGAGATTGTATGTGGGATTTCCAGGCCTAGCCACGGATAATCAAACAGTGTAAGTCTTGGTGGTACTTTGTTTAGGATTTGTTAGATTTCAACGCCTGCAGTTTCGCAAAAACATGTACGAGTTGCGAGAAAATCGAACCATCAAACCTCAAACGATCACTACTATGCTGTCAAACTTGTTATATGAACGCAGGTAAATATATGAAGCATATTTTATTAGCATAGGTTCGGCCCATACTTTGTGGAACCAGTAGTTGCTGGCATTGACCATACTACAAACAAACCGTATATTGCATCAATGGATTTAATTGGTTGCATACTTGAAGCAGATGATTTCGTTGTCAGTGGCACATGTACAGATCAGATGTACGGGATGTGTGAAACACTTTGGGAAAAAGACATGGTACGTCACACCTTTTGTTTCCTTCTGCTACTGTGGAACTTCAGTAGAAATACATATTCATAGCATTTTGTTATCAGCTATAAAGGTTTCCCGTTTAGTACGTGGTTTTTTATTTGGCTTAGGGGAGAGTCACATTTCTAATGATAGACAATGTATTTTCTCTAAGATTGTCGTATATGTTGTTTGCGTGTTCACTTTTGCTGTATATGCACATTTATGATCATACGGATCATTGAAGCACCTTGCTTCAAGTGCGTGTAACATCGCCAGTGGGTGACAGGTTTTGGTTTAAGCAGTGGGGTTTTTATACTTGAAAATTTAGTGATGAAGCAAACAATGACACCTGACGCTATCATCATCAAGATTTCATTATATCATATTATTGTTCCCTTGGGTTCCGAGTGGAGCGTATGGTTTCAACAACACACTTCCAATTTGTTCTATTTTCTGCCCTCCTTTTTTGTTGATTATAGCTTGATTCCAGACAGTACTTTTTGGTAGAAGTAAGGAATTTTCAACATGTGATATCAGAAGCCCAAATTTTGCAGGCCGACCATAGATATCAGGTGTGTGTCGGTAGGAGATCGAACCCCGGATAATGTGCATGGTCGGTGACAGTCCTAACCATTGTGCCACCGACGCACCCTGGACACACGATTGTTCAAACTCTCTCATCTCTTCCTCACACTATCTCCTCCTTGTCACTCTCGTACCGATGACCCACTCGTCACTTCCCACTTGGAATCCACTCGAGGGCCTGACACGCGATCTTATTCGACGGTTTCTTCAATGTATGCCCCATCCATCTCCATTTTCTCCTAAATATTTGTTGAGCGATAGGTTCTTGGTTGATTTGTTGCCAGCCAGAGTTTCATGTTACTAATTCTTTCTGGCTAGCCATTTGATCTTCAGTGTAGAACCAGCGAAGGTGGCTGCTGTTGATAAAAGTCTGCAACAAGCTGTTGGAAATCCGTCTCGTAACACGCTGTCCAAGTTTCTGACCCGTATAGAAGCACTAACTGACTTCATATTGGGGTTAAAATCCGAGTCTTTTTCTTTATGCTAGCTGAGTGAGTGCAGATCTCCAAAATGGTTTCAGGTTGATGAAGGCGTATCTTACCTTTCCGATTCTGGTTGGCTGGTTTTGTCATCTTTATCCGTTCGGCCTGCAGTTGATAGGGTTCTTCCTAGATAAGTGAAGAAAGTAACCTCTGTTAAATCTCTCCCGTTGATGGTAATTGATGCTAGTTGCGGTTGTTGTTGCTGTTGGTTGGTTATCTTCAGTAACTCTGTCTTCTCAATGTTCACCTGGACTCCTGTCTTTGCTACCAACTAGCCTCTACTACCAGTTTGTTGGTTTTCGCCTGTAAGTCGTCGAGTTTGTGTGACACTGGACATATGTCATCCACACGCAAAATCCAGATCTTCTAAAGTCTTCCTATCGGTGGCCCAGCGTATTCCTGTCCCCTCGCTTCCTGTGCACAGTCTGACGCATAGTCCATCCTACAGTGATAGTAGTAGACAGCCTTGTCTTAATCCTGTATTCACTTCAAATCAGGCTTCGCTAAGTTTTCCGTTGTGGATCACCTGGCACGTGGCATTGTCATATAGCCAGCTGTTGAATTAGGCTGATAAAGACTGTACGCCGTAGTATTAAAGTAGTTTCCAAATTACGTTTCGGTCGACACTATATGTCAAAGGCCTTTCCGCAGTGGATGAAGTTGAGGTAAAGGGAGGTTTGATTGCCATTCCGTGCTTTGTTCGATGACGATGCTTAGTGTGGAATTACCGTTTTTGGTTTTATTTACTGTTCTTTCAATTAGAAATATCCTATTCATTGCCTAGATGAAATTAAACAAGCACAATATTTTGTCTTAATGTCTGTTTTAATTTTGAAAGTGTCTTGATGTGGTACGCATATGTAAAATGAATAAGTTGCTATATTAATTCAAATTGTTGACATTTCCTTACCACTTTCAACAGAATTCAAAGGAGCTGTTCGAATGCATTTCACAATGTATTTTGAATGCTCTTAATCGTGATGCTGTATCTGGTTGGGGTGCTCGAGTTTATATGATGTAAGTCTATTTTCTTTGGAATTTTAAATAAGCCTCATAGTTTATATTTTTTAATGTGTATGATTGCAAACTTGTATCATTTCCTATCGTATAGCAAAGTAGGTTTGTGATGAAATTTTTTGTCTCAGATGTATGTACAATATAAATCAATCACCGAAGTGTAGTCCACTGACTGTTTACTTGTTACATCCAAATAAAGCAGCGAATTTTGTGTAAAAGGTTATTCAGCTATGCGAAGTAGACTTTGGGGACAAATATGTGACCTAGTGTTGCTGTCTGCAATTGTTATTCAAATTGTAACGGTTACTTGTTCACTAATTCTGTGTAGTAATTTTCAGATAGATGGCAAGTCATTAGAGCAATGGTTTGGCCACTAAAAGGCATCTTCCTTTACTATATAAGCGTTATGAGAATCTATTAGGCCACTATATGGTACCTTTTAATCATATTATCTCTTTCAAAATAGAAAACAAAGTTTCTTAGTTTTCAAATGCATTAATTTTGACTACAGTTTTTGCAAGAATGCTAGTTTACACTGGATCCGGTCATATCGTGGGTCGGAAGCTGATTAAACGTTAACTAAGTGTATACTGAAACCATAAGTGGGTAATAAAAGAGATGGAAGTGATGAACAGTATTTATCACTAATTTAGACTTACTGAAAAGACATGCAAAGAAGAGAGAAAAGTGAAACTATATGAGAAAGATTAATCTGTAAGTATGCTCTGAACAAAGTTAGGAAGTTGGAGATAACACCGGAAAAAATTGTACATCTGAGTTATGGTCACCCACCGTCAAACCCCTATCTGAGTGAAAACTTTAGAGACGTTATGAAATAACCCAAACTGGTTCATAATGGCACAGATATTTTCAGCTTTTGTTGTCGAAATTCTGACCGTCTTCATTTCATTATTTTACCTCTCATATTCATTTATATGCATAGTAGTATGATTTCTATATGTGCTTGCCTTTGTGTTAATTCCATGCGTTTACACGCAAGGCTATTCCCCTTAGTTTGATGTGAGGCAGAATAAATTAAAACTCTTCACATCTTTTTTTCGAACAAGTTTTTGCACATAACAGACGCGAGATATTCCAGTTACTGTGGCAATAAAAGAAGTTGGTACACTGATTATTAATGGATTTAGGGTTTCTGGTATGCTGGGGCCCTAAATTGTCATCCATTTTATCAGAGTTCCTGATACCACTTAACAGTTAAGAGGTCGGTATTTGGAATGGAGCTCTTGATGTTGTCTCCGATTGTTGACTGCTTAACTAATGAACCACAGCTACAATTACGGTATCATAATAAAACCTGAGCTGAACATGTTCCCTTGAAGGACAACAAAAGCTCCGCAATTAAATCAAGCAGCTCAGAGAACACAAATAAATGGAAACTACGGCGTCATTATACAAACGGCTGAGTACTAATATCAAATTGAGCTGAAGATAATAAGACGATTTCTTTATCACTACTTCAAAAAGCCGAATGCTGCATAAATTTTCGGAGATTAACAGATCCTTCAAAACACCAAAGTGTGTGTATGCCTACTCCTAATTGATGAATTTACTCAATATAGCGCACTGATACTCTTATTTACTTTACTGCGCTACACTATCCAATTTCTATTCTTACATCCACCTTTTACGCAATTTTTGTCCACATTTCTATAACAATATACAAAGTTAATGTCCCTTCAGGTAGTGCAGAATTTGAGCTTATGGTAAAGTTAAGATTAGTGTGTCTTTAAAATGAAAAGACTCTGATAAAATCAAGCCCAACAGTCGTACACATTATTGGTTTTCGTGAGATATTAAGGTGTGTGAACTGAAGCCTTAAACTGTATGTTTCTTGAAAGTTCATTGAATTAGTAAGCACTAAAAGTATGCGTATTGCTTTGTGAATACATATTTACTAGTTAAATAGTACTTGTGCTGTTCTTTAAACAAATGACTACCTTACTCACGAGTAAGAATTAAGACGGGTATGATTTTCATGCATTACCAATAACTTTCACCTCTTTATTTTGTTTTTATTCTAGAGAAAAAGAGGCCGTCACCATTTCCGACTTAAAGATGCGTATGGACTGAAGAATTGTTCAAATAAATTTTTTTCACTGTTAATCACTCTTTCTTTCTACTACAATGGGGCTACTTACCCATATTTCATATATGTACTAATCCATATACATTCTTAAACCACCAACTGTTTGCTGTATGCATAGTCTGATGGGAATAAGTCATATATGGGCACCCTGGTAAAGTATAATTCCATATTAGATAGTTTTTTTTCTGATAATGTATAACTAGTTTTATATGGTCCTACTCCTTCTTGTTTTCTGTTGCGATTCTCCATAAATCCGGCATGGGAAGTTGTATCATTTCGATTGTACGTGTTTGGTTGTTAACCAAATCTTTGTTCGTCGAATCAACATCAAATATGTCGAACTGACGCAAAGGTCATACCGGATATATGGAGATTACTAACAATAAAAAACAGAAGAGTGTAGGATCATTTAAAGTAAGTTATTAATTATGAAGAATAAATTGAGTTGGAAACGTTATTCAGTTATTAATATTGTATTAATGTGTAAACTTACGTAATATAGAAATAGTGTGGACCTGTTTGTTCAAGAGAGTAGTTTAACTTGTTCGTACCCATGAAGGTTTAAACAATAAAATGCAGAAGGTCATCATTTTTAAGATAATTCACAATTAGAATTCATATTTACCCGAGTGCATTATGCGGAACAGTTGTTTAGCTGCATTCCTATTGGGTTGAAGAAGGTCACTGAAGGTTTTCGTGTTTCTTACCGAGAATGCATTCAGCAGCCATCTCATTAACTGGTGTATCTAGATATCCATTGTGGTTTGATTAATGGCCATAAATTTTATTTGGGAATATTATTCAGGAGATATAACTTTGTGACATATATAGTGGACTAAAATGGCGTTGCATAGACATCACACCATCCGAGTTATCATCTTATACTGAGTTATGTTCTGGTTCTGCTACAGTAATATTCATTATAGAAATTGACAGATCGATCAAACTGCTAAGAACACTCCTATGCTCAAGCACCATCCAGTACGTGTGTCAAACTTTTAATACCTCTTAAATCAAATTATGGCATGTTCTTTTTCGTCCGCCAAAGTGTTATCTTCAGAAACTCTTGTGTTATGTTAAGAAGGTAACATTAGTTGTTCCCAATTGTTTGCTTGTTTTTGTCAATAAAAGTAACAAAATGACTGTCATGCATCGCCTAGGTACAGCCTGTCGCCGTTTCCTTGTCTACTAATCATTTCAGAGGTATTCTTGGCAAATGCGTAATACTTTCAGTCGAATTGCTGGATGAAGGCAGAGTCTAGATGTGTTCCTTTACAGTAGAAATACTCTCGTAAGCGAAGCGTTTTAGGGGAAGTCTGTCGGAAATCCTAGGGTTTCCTGAACAAAGGTGAGGTTAATTCCAGACTGTCAAGCTCAAAAGTATTAGGTTTTATGTGTACTTAGATTGCTTTCAAAATGCACATCTCAATGATTCAAATTTTCTGTGGCAGAAATACTCAGTTATAGCACGTATATTTCAAAAGAAAAGTAGTTCCTCAAGAGCAAATTTAATCAATCGAAGTGCATTTTTTGCTTTATACACAGCTTTGATTTTATCAGTCGCTCAATTTCATTGCTTTGGAGCAACATTCGTCCCTAACTTTGCACCGCAAAATATTACCGAACGTGTAGTCTAAAAAACTCCTTGAGAAAGAGAATCATCAGTTGTGATCTAAGAGGTGGTTAAAATGATGTCAGCGAAATGGTCATCTATTGTGTAAGTGTAGATGTTTTGATCGTGCTTTAGGACAGTTACTACTTGGAAATGATACCAAACGATAGTATAGTTACGTTACTAAAAAGGGAGAAAATAAACATATGAAAGATAACAAGAGGCTAAATCTGCGCCACTGTAAACAATTTTGAGCTACTACTTAGTAATTTTCAGGACGATTTGGACACAAGTCATACACTTGCATCATTATGGGGCGCAAACTAACGGTCAATTAGTTCAGCATGTTTCGATGTGTCTACCGGCATTCATAAGTGAATTATACACTAGAATATCGACAGAGAACTCAACCTCCCCAAATACTTGCGTATAACCCGCGCTTATTGTGTGGGGGCTAGCAGTACTGCCAAAGCTGAAGTAGCTGAGGCAGGATTCGGACCGAGGACCCTCTGAAAAGAAGCACAGCAATTAGGCTACTCCTTCACAAGTGAGTCACAGACCAGACTGGCGTCCCACTTGCTGAGGTTTGGCACCCGAGTAGTATCACCAACTCTCAATTAGTAGATGTGGGTCGACTGTCAGTCTTTTTAGTCTGTTTGTCATTAGGTCCACTTAACATTCAGTGACTGTGGACAGCAGATACCAGATAGGTTAGGTTGACCTTCCTGTCATTATCGCAGGAAGGTTTTATCCCTCCGTTGTAAAATAACATCACCAAAGGTCTGTGCCAATCTGATGAAAGTTATGGCCGATTCCGAACCACTAGTAGCTATTATGGTACACACACTGAGGAGACTGCCGAATGAAATCGCTTGTCAGGCCCTCTAGTAGAGCCCAAATGGGAAACGACGAGTGATATGGAGGAGATGGGAGGCTATGGGCAATCGTGAGGCCAGCTAAAGAGGATCGCAGAGAATACAACAAATGGATGCGCTGCTGATGCCCTATGTTCCACTCAGAACCCAAGGGGATAATAATAATTATGACTACTATGTTTTGTTTTCGATTAGAGGTACTACAAACTCAAGTACAGTATAGTAGGATGAAAGTTGTGAACATCGCGTTCAAATTGGTTTCAAAAACAGGTAACTGTGAGCCAGCTGGACTGCCTTATCTCAAACAACTTTCCTTAAAAGTTATCAATGATTAGTCTTTCTCGAAAGTCGTTACACTCGCTACTTACTTAAGATCCACCCCCAGCCCTATTAATTAACATGATAACCTAAAAACCGAAGTCTTTTCAATCCCATTTTCCTCACGTTACCCATTAACGTTTGCGCTCATTATGTATACATTCTGGTGCCGTTTCTGCATTAAACATGTTGCGTGTTACCAGGATTCTTTAAGATGAGTGTTACTGTCACGCTACTTTTCAAATGTAAGTTTATCGGATGCTCGTTTTCACTTCTATTGAGTCGCGAAAACACGTCTGCAAATTAGAGCATAACTGACTTTCATACAAGTATCCTGGAGGCAGCGGTAATTTACCAAAGATCCCTTTTATCGATGACTTACAGCAAGGTAGAATTCCTGTGTGAATGGTTAGTTTGATATCGATGGTCAAAAAGCAAAATAATACTGGTCAATAACGGGTGATAATGTGGTTTGTCTCATGAAGCAATTTTTGAAAACACAAAAATACTTCAGCTTAACACAATATATTAGAAAAAATACAAAAATAAATGTACATTCAAAAATTTGATTTTAAATAAATCAAGGTGAAAAAAACTAGAACTTTTGAAACTAATCACTAAAAGGGTGTATATATTATGAGTCAAAAGACATGTTTATCACAAGAGCTTCATGGAAACGAAGATTATAGGAGAAGTATTTTGAATTTGTATTGCCCAAAGATTTTCAATTTAGATTCACACAGTTCTCAGTAAAAATGATTCGTCCTGAAAAACAACATAGTACGAATTCGACAATAATGATTTATAAAAATAAACAATGCAATGTAAGGAAACATGCGAGGAGTTTACTGCACATAAGGAGGACAAGTTACTTCTGGATTCATACCAGGTTGCGGTTTTATGACAGGAAAAGACTATCCTGAGATAATTTTCAAAAATTATGTAAATCTGTCAAATGATGAAAGTTGGGTAGTAATACTTTTTTAAGGGTTGGCTTGACAGTGTGTGACTCAACATGTCGATATTCAGTAACATATAACATGCTTTATCTACGACTAGTAATCGATTTTATCTGGTTTGAATAAACTTGAAGACAAGCATCTTCCTAAAATTGAGCCAGTTGCATGTGTCGATACGCGCACTAGGTTGACTAACTGATAGTAATTGAAGAAAAGATTTCCCTATTTTATATTTAACAGTACTTGCAGTGCATAGGTACTACCTATACACGACTAATGTGCCGTATTATACGAATCTTAAATCCAACCAGAGGAGCATGAACGACAAGTCACCATCTCATAATACACGTCCTCCAGATGCATAAAATGAAACACATAACATGTGGTGTAAGACTATTGTGAACTGGGCTGTGAGACAGTTACAACTATTCTTCATCAAGTAAATGTGGTAATTGGTTTCTACATCATTTATTTATCTTTCCCGATCTGATGTTTGCGAACATTAACTTTCTGTAAAGTCATTTAAGATGAAAGATAACTGAATGAATGCATATAGTGTTTCTAATCCCAAAAAGTGCAAGTCCTGAATATGAGCAAACAGATTGTTTCATTCACATCCTCTTGAGGTTCTACGGTTATTAATACACAGATCGAGATAAACGTAAACATTAAGTAACACCAAATAAGTCAAGAATTTATACAGTGATGAATTAGCGTTATTAAGCACCACCTTTCATATGAGCGTTAATACCGTGGAACAAAGAAAACGAGCGTTAAGAATCACCTTAGGAACCTGTGTAACTTTCATGTATCTAACGGGGTATGTAGTGACTTGCTGCAGTTAAAAACCTCACTTTCCAACAACATATTCTGCAATTTATCATTGTATTTCATTATTGAAGTAGACGTATTGCACTATGCTACATAGTCGAGCAGATAACTTTTTACCGCCACGATCTCATACGGCTCGACATTTCAGTGTGGTATTTCCTGCAAACGAGTGAATTCACTTGCGAGTTGAAATTAAAATCAGATAAAATACAAATACGTTTATTGTTACTTTACGGAGGAATTATCAGTGGTAAAAGGGAAATGCCAAGTTAGATAAGTAAATAACTATTTCAGTTGTTAGATTTCCGTCCTAAACCAATATCAGTTAGAGATATCACTGAAAGCCATTACGGAGCATTGATAGACAGATGTTTCGTCCCATTTTAGGACTCTTTATCGGATTTGATCCCTGGTAGGATCATGGGTGTGCATTGCTAAAGAGTCCCAAAATAGGACAAGACAGTTTGTCTATCAGTGTTTTCTGCTGGTTTTCAAAGAACTCTCTAACTGATGTGTTGTAGTCTGAAAATAGTTATTTGATTGAAACAATGTGTAAGAAT